ACTTTTGTCACATTATATAATAAAAACCAATGCAAAATAAACTAGTAGGCATTTGGCATTGTGGCCTTATTGCAAATTGCTGGAACTTCCCGTACCAAATTAAAAATCTTAGTACGGAATCAAAATAATTTACACCAAAATTTGTACACATTATTAAATTTCTATAAAATATCTGATAATTTGATGTGACATATGTCTAATGATCATTTTTGACCGCCAAATGGCATTTTTTTTTACTTTTTTTACTAGATCTCCCCGAAACCGCTAAACCTGTCTTCATTAAAATTTGATCAATTCTTCATCTTGTCAATACAAGTAAAATGTTTTTGAATTATTAAATCGGATGCTCCGTCTCTTAAAAACTGAGTACAATTTTTGGCACTTTTTGCCCCGTATCTTCGGAACGACTAGACCTGCTTTTGCCAAAAACTAATCAGCACGTCTCCTTATCAATACAAATCGAATGTTTTTTGAAATATTCAAATCGCTTCATCCGTGTTCCCGAAATCGTCGACGAAAATTCGTGTCCGAACACACACACACACACACACACACACACTATAATCCATTTTTTCTAAGGTATGCCAAAATGTTCAGAAACCTTTGAAACGTAAAGATATATAAAAATCTTCATTTTCGATTTTTTTGCGATTACTATAACTTGCCCTACGGGAAGTTAAGAATAGGGTTTAATTTAATTATTTACAGCAATTTGAGGAGAAGTTCAAAGTCATCCAACTCAAGACGACTGTCGTCGTCATGTCCGGCCAGGCAGCACATGGCCAGACAAGCCGCAAATTTGAGGGAAAGAAAAAGAATGCAGTCGATAAACGAGGCTTTTGAAGGGCTAAGGGCCCACGTTCCGACACTGCCCTACGAGAAGAGATTGAGCAAGGTGGATACGCTGAGATTGGCCATCGGATATATCAATTTCTTGGCGGAACTTGTAAGTGTAGGAGAAATTACTTAGTATAAATTTAGTTTTTGTCGACGTTGAACTAATTCTGAATCGTTTTGCTCATCATTTTGTGTCAATAGGCTACAATAACATCTTTTTTTTCAGGTTCGAACAGACAGGAACGCAAACGAGCCAGGTTTGAGCAGTGCCAATAGGCCGGCTGTTAAGGAAGAACCCAGAAAAATTGTCCTCAGAGGTAAGTGGACGAAATATAATATGTCGCGACACTAATTTCATTTTTCAAATGAATGAAATGAATTATTATATGCATTCACCTTTTCGATTTCTGTTCAACTATATGTAACATGTTGGGATTGTTCATCTAACCCTAACGCGCGTTTTTTGGATATAATATATAATATTTAAACAAATCGAATTTATATCGTTATTAACCTGCTCTTTTCGTTGATATATAAAACCAAAATAGAGCACATTATTTGCCTTTTGGCAAGTTGCTTTTCAAACACAACTGTAAAACTCAAGTTTTATATTCTAGTCTATGAAGTTAGTTAATGACATAGCACATGAAAACTGCTGGTAATTTTATATAATTCAAAATACTATTTTTTTACAATTATATGATTTAAAATATATTTAACGATTTAGATTTGCCTATTGTCGAGTTGCAGATTTTTTTACCTAATTACTGTTTTGGTAAATGTTCACCTAAATATTGTTTTGTTATAAAATGTGACACTGTGTAAAATCAGTTAGTGCAAAGTTGCACAAAAAGTCGAGTGAAGTGATTTTAGTGAAGTGAAATCCAAATATAGTGAGGAAAAATTGGTGACAAATCGAGTTCATCTAATTTACAGGTGAGTCATATTTTTGATTTTTGAATATTTTATTTTGTAGTATTTAAGATAAATTGTTTTAGTTTGTCGGATACAAGATATGATTAAATCAATAAATAAAGTAAATGCAATTTGGTTTTCTAGTGGGAGACCCACCCTCGCATTTTATTTTTATTATGATTTAAATTATTTATTAATTGCCGTGTGAGATGAGAGAAAAACATCCCTTGTAATATCTGTCGGAAAAGGTTTTGTAATAAACATTCCCACGAATCTATGGACAACATATGCGTGATGATACAGAATTATGTAATTAACCTGGATGACCCTCTCGAATGATGCATTTTCACACACACACATACACAAATATAAATATATATTTATATATATATATATATATATAACAAATGTATTCTGAGTGGATGAATAGATTTTTATTTGGAAATATGAACAAACACCCCTCTTTTTTGCACTAATTTATTAAATAATAATTTTCGTTCAATATACTCGAGTATATTGAATGACTTGTAACGGATAACACACATAATGCTAATTTAGGTTTCCATATTTTAAATTTTAAATTATAACACACTGATGATGAGACAAACCTAGTCTCGAAACGTTTGTGAAATTATTATTTAATAAATTAGTGCAAAAAGAGTGTTGTTTGTTCATATTTCCAAATTAACACACACACATATATATATATATATATATATATATATATATATATATATATATATATATATATAAATGTAAATAAAAAAGATGAAATTTATTATCTGGGTCCAACATGTGCAAAAGTTCAAATTTAAAAAGTTACTAAATTCTGTTTTGTACATGCAGGATTAAACTAATTCGCAATTTACTAAACTATTTCTATTTAAAGACAAAATCAATATTATTTATTTTTGAATTTTCAAGAATTATTCGTTTTCGTAGTTTTATTGTTTTATTTCGGTTTATTTTAGACATTTTATACCAGGCTGTAAAGCATGAATAACAAATCATAATACATATACAAATGCATAAGTAGATTCTAATATTTTCATTATTCAAAAAAAGTCTCATTTAGCAATAGCGCGATACTGTTTTTTGCATTTTCGGCAAGATGAGTTTTGTCTCATCATCTAAAACTCTAACAATTATAAAAATTTGGAATATTGGTACAAAAATATAGTGTGGTGTGCTCATATTCACATAATTAATATTCATTCCACTTTTAATACAAAATCCTACTGATATTTATCATACAGAATTGTAATGCAACACTCGTATAGGATTTGGAAAATCACATGCATTTATTAACGCTGACATTGAAAAAAACTAGACATATAGATATACATTTTCAAATTATATTAAATATTTTTATGATTATTAAAAAATGTAATATATTCTAGTTCTAAAATTTGTCACCACGATCGCTAGTATCTAATAGGGGTTTATAACTAAGATGCACAATTGCGCGCGCGGTTCATGTCATCGCTTTTGCGCCGTTAGTTGCAACCACAAAAAAACACCATACACACGTGTAAATAAATTATCATATACCTGTCCGGCTGCTTTCGCTTCCCATACAATAAAAAATACGACTGTATTAGTAATTGCGACATAACAAAACACTGGATTTATATTGAAGGAAAACTAAAGGGCCCTAATGAAATATATGATAAAGATAATCAAGTCGTACTACTGCCTAAGTCGCAGTCCGGCTTATAACTATGATAGGTGGTACGACTAAGGCAACTTGGTTCCTTGATAGTACCGAAAGCACTTTTATGAAAAGCGTGCAAAACTACTCATTTTGATAAAAAACAGGAATTGATATTAAAAATCCTGCTAAATTAACCTAGCGGTATATGGCATCACCTTAAGGCAAATTGCTGGAACTTCCCGCACCGTAACGAAATGTTCGAGGAATACTGAATGTTTTGAAATAGATTATTATTAATATTATAACATTGTCTAATATTTATAAGAATTTTATAAACTGAATTGCAAATTTAAAATAATTTTTTTAAAGTATATTAGAACTTTAGTCAGAATTAAAAATAAAATCTGAATTATTTTCGATATACACAAAAAAATATTTTTTGAAAAAAAAATTGAAACAAATTTTTTTTTCCAAAAACAATTATTTTGTTGAAACAAGCAAAAATTTTTTTGAATCATTCAAATCGGACGCTTAGTTCTCTAAAAAAACTGCCATTTTTTGCACATTCTGCTACTGATCTCCAAAACCGCTAGGCCTATCTTTGACAAAAACTAATATCCACTTCTTCCAATCATTACAAATTGAATGTTTTTTAGATGATTCGAATCGGATACCCCCTTCTCTCAAAAACTCGATATCTATTTTCTGCACTCTTTGCTGCGTACCTCCGAAACGGCTGGACCTGCCATTGCCTTTGCCAAAAACTAATCAGCACATCTCCCTATCAGTAAGAATCGAATGTTTTTTGAACCATTCAAATCAGACATACAAAACACAGACACGCATACATCAATTTTTTCTGAAGTATGCCAAAATGTTCAGAAACCTTTGAAACGTAAAGATATGTAAAATTTTTCAATTTCGATTTTTGGACGATTACTATAACTCACCCTACGGAAAGTTAATATACGACAAAGATTTTTTTTGGTTTAATTGCATTAAATACTATAGAATAATGTAAGCTAGGGGTACGACTTAAGAAACCTAATCCTTATTTGAAAAATGTCACTTATCGCCCCTAGATTTTCGTTATTTTAATTGTAATAATTTTTATTATTATTGTATCTGTGAACAAAATAATAAACGAGTAACAAACCAATTCCAATGCACATAAAACGTTTCGGAAAGAATTCCTTCCATCATCATTGGTTTAACTATAATGTTCCAGGACCGCAAGTCATTTTATTTGTAACAAAATTTAGTATGTCTGTAAAAATCTATATAATGCGGAAGATTCTTTTGCGAAACGTTTGATGATATATTTACTATAATAATAATCATTAATAAATTAGTTTGTACTCGTCAATTCTTCTTCAGTATGTAGTAAATTATTTCAAAATAGTCAAAATCGAGTCTCATTCAGAAAACTTCTACGAAAGCTCAAAAATCGTCTCACATACTCTCATACACAGACATATACCTTTTCAAATTTAGTCACAAACGATTCAAAATGACTTGAAACGCCAAGATAAAAAACATGAGAAAATCGGACTTGCTAGCAAAAACTATGAGGAACTAAAAATAAATCATCTAAAACTCGTTGATAAATTTAGAACTTCAAACCACCAACACCTTATCAGCCTAAAGTCTTTCTAAAATCTAACCCTTTTTCCTTATCACCTTGGTAATATATAATAAACCATTCAAATCGGTTGATCCGTGCGCCCGAAAACGTGGACAAAAAAATGCGGACATACACACACACACACATCCATTTAGTTTCTGAGGTATGCCAGTAAAATGTTCAGAAACCTCCAAAACGTCGAGAAATGCAAAAATTTTCATTTTCGCTTTTCAGCTCATTACTATAACTACCCTACGGGAATTTTATAAATACGAATGATTGATAGGAAGATCCCGGTATTCTAAACCCTAGTTAGAGCCATAGAGCTAATGGATTTGAATCATAAGTATCAATTTCGATACCTGCCTCGGACAGCCTGTTTTCAAGCAACAGTGACATCAGTTTCTATTTGAAAATATATATAGCAAGCGAAAATAACTTTTTATCCTGCACCAATAAAGAAAAATCGTCAGTATTATAGGAATTGTAATAATAATAAAATCATCACATAAAGATAGATCAACCGATCAACTAGGAATAAATCAAACACACCAGTCTCTACTATTTCTATAATCTATCCCTTATCTCTTATCACCTTGGCCACACCTGTTACACCTCTCTCACACACTTATATGTGTAATATATTTATTACATACATGAAATGATTTTCATTTTAGGCGCGGCGCTCCACGCGAATCGACGTAAACAAAAACATAACATAAAAACGTGGTGCCCCAAAACAAACTTATATTGTTATAAACAATTGTATAACAGTGTTAATAAAGTTATAAATAATTTGTATTATATAAATATGTCGTTGGATTGAAAGTGTTATTAAAAGTGTGTTTGTGGTTAACATGACGAACGGATAGATAAGATTAAATAGGTATGTAAAAGGCGCTCCAAAGGTTGATAAAAGATTAAAGTTAATTTATAATATTCTTGTTATATTTTAGTAATTATTATGTTTTTTATTTAACTCAATGGTTGTCCTTTTTATAGCTGTTATATATTTTAAATCAATTAAAATATTTTGTTTTTGTTCTTAAACAATTTTATGCCATTTATATCATTTATTTAAGGAATATTAAATGTTTTCAAATAGATTATTATAAATTATAAAATGTTTTCAAATAGATTATTATAAACTGGATTGCAAAGTTGAAAATACGTATTTAAAGTATATTAGAACTTTAGTTAAAATTTAAATTAAAATCTGGATCATTTTCGATATAAAAAAAATTCTTGAAAAGAGAAAATTGAACTATTTTTTTTTCAAAAGCAATTATTTTTGTTGAAACAAGCAGAAAGTTCTTTGAATCATTCAAATCGGACGCTTAGTTCTCTCAAAAACTGCCATTTTTTGCGCATTTAGCTCTGTATCTCTGAAACCGCTGGACCTGCCTTTGCTAACTAATCAGCACGTCTCCTTATCAATACGAATCGAATGCTTTTTGAATTATTCAAATCGCTTCATCCGTGTTCCTGAAATCGTCGACGAAAATTTGTATCCGCACACACATACACACATACGTCCATTTTTTCTAATGTATGCCAAAATGTTCAGAAACCACAGATGTATAAAAATTTTGATTTTCGATTTTTTTGCGACTACTATAACTCACCCTACGGAAAGTTAACAAGAAAAAATAAATTACATAAATAAATTTAAAAAATGATAAAAATTGGTGACCCCGAAATTAAATTAATTTGATTTGAATAAAACATATACATATATACTCGCAAATAATTTTCTTTCATAAAATAGAGATTTATGGTAAGAGGGTGAAAATTTATAGTATATTTTTCAACTCAGTATTATAAATAAATAATTTAATAAACAATTTTTAAAAATGTGTTAGAATGGAGGGAAACATTTTATATAAAAAAACTGTTGTTCGAACTAAAATTTAAAATTATCCATAAGCTCAACAAAATCTGAATTAAAATTCAGTGAAAAACATTACAGGCATACTAATCCAGAATTCAATTCACGCATTTTAATTAAAAAAAATTACGTCAAGGTCTGTTCACCCTTATAAATATGCACTTTGTAATTTTTTTTATTATTAGACTGACCAAAACGATTACTAAAATGACGAATAGGGAAAAAATCGCAGTGGTATGAAAAATAGATGTACGATTCTTAGCCATACTGAATGTGATTATAAAATTTCTTAAAAATCGGTCAAGTCGTCTCGGAGGAGTAGAATGACTAACGTCATGACTCACATACCCATACATATACACATATATATATATATATATATATATATATATATTTGTAATATTTTTGCAGCCCAACCGTCGAATTAAAAAAAGATTAAATAACAAAATTATTTATTTCATTAAACGTTTCGACACTTGATGTGTGTCATCATTCAGTAATCTAAAGAACATATAACATAAATACAAAGTTGATGATAAATATGAATATATAAAAAGGGGGAAATTATACATATCAAACCAGGAAAAACAACAGAAAAAATCAATTATGATGTAAAATTGATTGAACACTAAATTTGTAAAAAAATAATAATATACTATTATATTAACAAACGAGAAATTGAAGGAGCACATGCTGCCCTCCTATATTTTATGTTATTAATAGCGGTGCACTAGGGACACTGATCAAGGTTTTCTCCTTTTTATATATTTATATTTATTATCAACTTTATATTTATGTAATATGTTTTTTAGATTACTGAATAATGACACACATCAAGTGTCGAAACGTTTAATGGAATAAATAATTTTGTTATTTAATCTTTTTTTAATTCGACGGTTGGGCTGCAAAAATATTACAAATATATATATATATATATATATATATACATATATATATATACATATATATATATATATATATATATCTACATATATATAAAAATTAATCGGGTGTTCCTTCCTGACGAAATAACTTCAGAACGCACGAACCGATTTCGACAATTTTGCATTCGTTGGAAAGGTCTCGGGCTCCGCAAGGTTTATAGCTAAGAAAATTAGTGGTGCATGGCATCGTACCTCAATGCAAATTGCTGGAACTTCACGCACCGTAATTAAAAATTTGAGTAATGACATTAGTGAGAATTATCAGAATTATGTTTGGTTAAGTCAACGAGCAATTCTTGCCGCAAAGAATAATTATGTACACGCACTGAATTTCACCATTCAATCAAAAATTGCTGGCGATTTGGTGACATACCAATGATTCCGACTGGTCTTTCGTTTGACTTCAAACGATTGCAATTTTCAGTTCGCCTTGCGTTCGCAATAACAAGTCGCAAAGCCAATCGCTTAGTGTTTGCGGGATAAATTTCAAATAGATTATTTAGAAAATCATTGTTTTTCACATGGGCAGTTATACGCTGCCTGTTCACGAGTTGGAAAACCATCCGCTTTGTTTGTGTTAACGTCAGACCAAAAAACAAAAAATGTGGTTTACACAAGATCACTTCATTGAAACGGATAATTTGCGGATTCACTTTCATTTACTTAGAGAAGTTCAACTAAAAAACACTTCATTTTTGTAATCGAAATAAATTCATTACTGTTGTATAATAAAATCAAATTTTTCCTTTTCAAATATAAAACAAACAAAAATTTTTTTCATCTTTCTCACGAAACCATCTGGTGGCGAAACGGAGTTTGTCGGGTTTGCTATTATATATATATATATATTCGTGTGCAAAAACTAAAAATCGATATTTCCTTCCGCTATTTCCAGAAATAAAAGTAACACTTGCATATCTTATATCCGATAAGCCACCACCTGATAACACGCAACAAGCGCACGCGATAACAAAAACGCAATTAAAACCAAAACCAAAACCAAAACCTCAACAACATAATAAATAAAATAATAAAATAATAACTCACAACCATTGATTTTGTATATCTATTTCTATCGATCGATTTCACAGGTGTCTATTATCCTCCGCCTTCGCCATGATACAATACTCGAGCGAGCGCTGGCTGACCTTAATAAATAACTATAATAATTACAACTTAATAAATAAAGTAATAACCCACAACTATCGATTTTAGTTTAGTCATTAAAGCAAAAACTCACGAACAACTATTAACAAAACTCAATAATGTCATGCTCTCAGTTTCTAATTGGTTTCAAAATAATAATCTTGTATTGAATAATAACAAAACAAAATTAATTTCTTTTAATAATAATAATAAAATTTGTCGAGATATTTCCCCGTACATCTTTAATAATAACACTTATGAGTTTTTGAATAATACAAAATTTCTTGGTATAAATATTAGTAACAGTATGAAATGTGATCATCACATAATTAACAGTCTGAATCCAAAATTATCAAAAACCTGCTTTATGCTTCGTAATTTAAAAATGAAAGTAAGCAAAGAGAGCCTTTTCACAATTTATTACTCATATTTTTATTCTAACGTAATTTACGGCATTCAATTTTGGGGGTTTTCACCATTACTAACATCAGTTTTTCAATTACAGAAAAAAGCAATCAGAGTTATGTTTTCCCTTTCGTCCACTACATCTTGTCGACCTTTTTTCCATGAGCACAAGATTCTACCCGTTCCATGTATTTTTCTCCTAATCACCCTCTGTTTTATAAAAAATAATGGTAACCTGTTTAATTTAAGCCCAAATTCCGAATGTATTCATTATGACACAAGACATAAACTTGTAAAAGGTCCCACATTGAAACTGGCCTCCTCATTTAATACCTTAGATGGTTTGGGCATAATGCTTTACAATAAGCTGCCATTAGGTATTAGAGAAGTTGGAAATAGGAAATTTTATAAACTACTCAACACATTTTTTAAAGAGCAAGTTTTTTTACTCTATTGATGAGTATTTGAGTTTTAACTTTCAATAAATTATTCTGTGAAAATTAGAATAAGATTTTTAAGTAAACATTTGTTTTTTTTAACTTCCCGTAGGGTAAGTTATTGTAATGGGCCAAAAATCGGAATTGAAAATTTTTACATTTCTCGACGTTTTGAAGGTTTCTGAACATTTTTAAGGGGCATACCTCAGAAAAAATGGATGTGTGTGTGTATGTGTGTGTATGTGTGTGTGTGTATGTATGTATGGATACAAATTTCCAGTCACGTTTTCGGGCGCACGGATCAACCGATTTGAATGGTTCAAAAAACATTCGATTCCTATTGATAGGGAAAAGAGCTGATTAGTTTTTGGCAAAGGCAGGTCCAGCCGTTTCGGAGATACGGAGCAAAGAGTGCAGAAAATAGAAATCGAATTTTTGAGAGAACGGAGTATCCGATTTGAATGATCTAAATGTTTATTAGTTTTTGGAAAAGGCAGGCCTAACCATTTCGAAGATACAGAGCTAAATGTGCAAAAAATGGCAGTTTTTGAGAGAACTAAGCGTCCGATTTAAATGATTCAAAGAACTTTCTGCTTGTCTTAACAAAATAATTGATTTTGGAAAAAAAAAATTTGTTCCATTTTTCTTTTTTTTTTTTTTAGTTTTTTGTATATCGAAAATATTTCAGATTTTATTTTTAATTCTTATAAATATTAGACAATGTTACAATATTTATAATAATCTATTTGAAAACATTCAGTATTCCTCGAACATTTCGTTACGGTACGGGAAGTTCCAGCAATTTGCCTTAAGGCACGATGCCATAATTGCCTCAAGACAGAATTCCACTTACAGCTAGTTTAGACATAATTTTAGAGTTCTAACAAAATTTTGAGTCACAGTATAAATTATAGAAAAGTGTCCGGAAGGCAATTAAAACTTACATGACATAGGTACATCACTCGAATTGTAATAGACTTGTGCAAATTCGATAGGTTTTTTGGCATATAAATATTGATCTCACATGAGAATGGGCTGAGTAAGATTTAAAGAGAATTTCATAATCTACATTTTCCCTCAAACTCAAAATTTTGGGTTACAGTACCAATTCTAGAAAAGTGTCCGGAACATACTTCATGCAGGTACATCACTCGGACTGTAATGGGCTTGTTTTTTTTTAAATTATATTTCATTTTTATATTGTATGTATTATTATCTATTAATTTAAGTTATGTACCATATAATATAATATCTATACATCTATTTCTATCGGATAAAAATGAAATTTTTATCTTCCATAATTTCACAGGTATCCATTATCTTCCGCCTTCACCATGATACAATACTCTAGCGAGCGCTGGCTGACCTTCCTCTACGGCCTGATCATGGTCTGCGGCACCGTCTGCTCCGGTGCCTGCGCCGTCGCCTGGAATCACTGGAAATTCGTCCTGGACACCTGCACCATAGACGTCACCTGTGGTTGTATATTGAATGCCAGGTCGACGCATCGGTACTTCACCGGAGGACATGTCTCTTATTGCCATTGGGCGGTGAGTGGGGAAATAGAGAATTTTGTGCAAATACTGAAGTGGGAGTCTAAGATATTGTTTGTTGTTATTTTTGCAGGTTTATGGTCTGTTGCCATCAGTAGCAGTCGCTTTGGTGTTTTTCATGTATCATGGATATAGAGTGTGTATTAATAGCAAAGGGAAGCCGCCCAAGTCGTATGAGGAGACTGTTATTACTTCGAGGTAGATACGTAGGATTATTTTATACATCATGTTTTTTTATCTATGGCATATGATGTAGACTTTTATGCGGCAATTCTGGCGTAACAGAGCTCATAAAATAGCGATGTCATGTCATGGTTTTTGGTAGTGAAAATTTATATTTATTAACTTCTCGTAGGGTAGTTATAGTAATGGGCCGAAAATCGAAAATTAAAATTTTTGCATTTCTCGACGTTTTGAAGGTTTCTGAACATTTTTAAAGGGCATACCTCAGAAAACTAATGAATGTGTGTGTGTGTGTGTGTTTTGTATGTCCGCATTTTTTTGTCCACGTTTTCGGGCGCACGGATCAACCGATTTGAATGGTTTAAAAAACATTCGATTCCTATTAATAGGGAGATGTGCTGATTAGTTTTTGGCAAAGGCAGGTCCAGTTGTTACGGAGATACGGAGCAAAGAGTGCAGAAAATACAAATCAGGTCTTTGAGAAAATGGAGTATCGGATTTGAATGATCTGAAATACATTCAATTTGTAATGATTGGGAGAAGAGGTGATTAGTTTTTGGCAAAGACAGGTCCCGCCTTTTCGAAGATACAAGGTTAAATGTGCAAAAAATTGCAGTTTTTGAGTGAATTAAGCGTCCGATTTGAGGATAAAAAATTATTACATTTTTTTTATTTTCCATACAATATTTTTGTAATTTTTGATTAAAAATTCAAACTAGTTGGTATTGGTATTTTGCCTTGAGGCAAGTTACATGAACTTCCCAATATGTGTAAATAATCCACTTAATCAATAATAATAACAAAACTACTCATTTTCTCAAACTTTGAGGATTTTTTAAAATTAAACTACTTGTCTTGTAAAGCCGTAATATTTCAGTTCCATAAGTTCTATAAGATCATGTTATATATCGCCATAAAAAGTTCCATAAAAATCGGCTCAAATTTGTTTTTCAACAGTTATATACAAGAAAACGGCTCGGTAGATTTTCACCTAAAACTAATCAGTATCATTCCCAACTAATATCTTTCGAACAGTTTTTGATTTTTTAAAATCAATTCGGTACAATGAGCTTAAATGTGGACGAAAAGTTTAACACCCTTTTTCAAATTACAAAGAAACGGCTTGGCAGATCGTCTCACAAAACTGACAAACTATAGTGCTCATTGAGATACATCGAATGGCTTTTAAATTTTTGAAATCAGCTCAGGTGTTTTTGAGCAAACATCGATGAAAAGTCTAATTTTGACAAATGCCAAAAAAACGATACTAATTTTTGCAAGCTTTGACGAATTTTTAAAGCTAAACGAGTTGTCGTAGAGCCGTAATATTTCAATATAATCTAGAAGAATATAATATTTACCGTCAAAAAAAAAAATCATAGAAATCGTCGATTTTTTTTTAAAAAAAACTTTATTATAAAAAAACGGCCCGGCCGATCTTCACCAAAAACTAATCAGCACGATTCCCAACCGATATCTTTCAAACGGTTTTTGAATTTTCAAAATCGATTCAGAATTGCGGGCTAAAACGTGGACGAATTTTTTTTCACTTTTCTGCTATTTATAAAGAAACGGTTTGGACAATCGTCAGAAACGCTAGTCCTCATCGAGATACATTGAATGGCTTTTTTTCACACACACACACACATACACACACACACATACTTTTTCCTTAAATTTGGTCTCATTCGATTCAGAATGGCTTGAAACGTCGAGAAAACATAAAATTAGCGAATCGGATTTTTTTATGAAAACAAACTTCTCCTTCGGGAATTTAATAAATCTTCATCCCCAAATCTACCTCTCTTCCCAGATCTCGAGAGCACATAAGCATGGTAACCCGCGTCAAAGACACCGCCTCACCTCACAATGCTCCAAACGACGACGAAGCAATCCACCTATGCTGGCCTCCTGCTGCAGCAATATGCGCCCTCGTCTTTCTCGTCTGTCTGGTACACGCCTCAATGTTGACCGACGGCTACTACAAAAGTTGCTACGAATACAGAACCGAACTCGGTAAAATCCTGAGGGCCAGCGGAAACCAAGTAAGATAAAGGATATGTGTGTATATATATATATATTAGAGATGGGTAACTCACTCCGGAGTTATCACTCCGATACAACTCCTCCCTCGGAGTGAATCCGAGTGGAGTTGTCTCGCCGGATTTGTCATATCCGACTTCCCTAAACTGGTACTAAATCTGTTACTGCGTTTTTGCTTTGAGAAGGAAGCTGTCGCTTTCTCGTCTCACAGGCAGTTTTATGACCTTTTAGGTATACGGTTTAAGAAAATACAAAAATATTACTTCAAAGATACAGAACAATGAAATTATGTTCAAGTGTGAATAGCTCCAATGTATAATTTATTGAATAGTAAGAGGTCATATTTCTAACTACGACAATCTTTGGCCGTGAATGACGGCAATCAGGAATATACATACCGAAAAATACACGACAAGAAATACATTTAATCTGGTTTTTACATAGTATGGAATGACAATACTTTAGAGTGCAAAATATATCAGTGACGTCAATAGTATTTAAGCAGCAAAAAATATATAGTGTTAAAATTTTACTTTTACACAATTGTATATTTGTGTATAAGTAATAATATGCGAATCGAACCACCCGATATAATATTAATACTCGAATGGAAATAGCAAAAGAAAAAATTAGAATGCAGAAGTAAAGTATTATTATTCGGTGAAAATATTTTATGATAAATGTTTTGCTTTTATTACAAAGTTTACTACATTATTTTTATATAAAACTAGATGACCCGACAGACGTTCTGTACCCATGTCTACAATTTTTTAATATAATATACTAATATTTACCGCTTACCTAAAAACAATAATTATTGTTTTTAAATTACTCTTCACGCCAAAATGCATATACATTTATCATATGAGCGATGTTACAATGTGAACTGCTTTAAATAAAATGATGAGTATCAAGTCCCACACTATATTGGAAATTGAAGTAACACTGGTACTTCATGTTGGATTAAATTAATTTAATTTTGTATTATTTAACTTATCCAAAATTGCATCTTAAACTTCTCTTAAACGATATCGTGAGGGCCGAATTTTATGTATTCATCTTTACTTTCCCATTTGTTGTTATAAAGTGATTTTTTTACGAATTTTACAAATATTGTGGAAAGATAAGTAAAAGATGCAAAGAAATTATATATTGAAAAAACAAACTATTTTAAAAAAATTTAATATCCGAATCTTGTGTTGGCGCCCCTTAAAGCGTGCGCTTGTATTTTTCGCATGCATTGCATTGAATGTAGGACCGGCCCTGATTAATACTTAATTTCATATTTAAGGTGAATTAATTTGTATATTTT